TAGCCAAGCTTTTGGAATAATGACGTAATGTTGGTATCTCTGTGTGGTTTACTGCTGTTGTCAGGGCATTTGAAGTTTTGGAAGAAAAGGCCTATTGGTATTGAGTTTGCGAAACACTTCAGATCTCATCTTGGTCCTATTGAAGGTCTAGCTGTAAGTTCATTAACCTGACACAACCCTTTAGCTTGCAGCAGTAAATTCTTGTATGATGTAATTGATTCTTGCTGTAATTTTATGATATATGATATTATGTATGAAGTCTATGGTGGGTAGTGGCCGACTCAGAAAATTTAGTGGCATAGTGGGTTGTGTAATGACCGTTATGTTGAAAGGTCGAAGTTTAAGGAACAGAATAGATTAATATACATGTAAAAGCTCAAACATAGAAGAATACACAAAAATAAAGACATATTTGTATCTAATAATCACAGTTCATTGTTATCAATATCCAAACTCAATATGAAGTAAATAAGTTTAAGAGTGAAATGACCAAAATGTAAATAAAAAGCAGATAGGGTGGCTATAAAGTTGGGAAAATATTTGGGGTTTTGCGAAGTGCATAGGGGTCTCTACATCTGCTATTGACTATTGAAAGCATACTAATGATGCATTTCTTTATGCCGAAAATTTTCTCTTGTTATATAATATGTATACGTAACTATTTAAGTTTTCAAAACCTTCTTGTTGTACTTGTTATCAACCATGACTTATTTCAGCTATGCAGGTTAGTATTGATGGTCTGCTTTGCTGTACAATATCAAATGACCGTTCTGTGAAAGTATACGATGTAGTCAACTTTGATATGATGGTGATGATTCGGTTGCCATACATTCCTGGTGCCATTGAATGGGTTTATAATCAAGGGGATGTCAAAGCTAGTCTTGCCATTAGTGATAGGAACTCATCTTTTGTTCACATATATGATGCACGGTCTGGTTCAAATGATCCCATCATCTCCAAAGAGGTGCCAATTCTAAACCATCTCTAATGCTACTGAATTTAAAAATGCATGAGCTTTGATTTCATTATTTTATGTGTTATTTCTTTTAACAAATTAATTACAACCTTGTCATTCTTTTCTCCTTCATTCAGATTCATTCGAGTCCTATTAAAGTTATGAAGTTCAATCCTGTGTATGATACCGTAATTTCGGCTGATGCAAAGGGTTTCATTGAATACTGGAACCCTACAACACTCCAGTTCCCAGAGGATGAGTATGTGCTTTGTTATTTTCTTACTTTGGTTCTGCCTCTCTTTTTTTAAAATAACAGATTCATCAAGGTTTAATTACTTTTTGTTGCCTGTCCTCAAAATTCCTTAACTCATACGTATACTCAAATATGTCAAATCACTTGCATTTTACATATTTTGATTAGCTTAACCACTTGTAGATAGATTCCTTTTACTGCACTGAATGGATTATTGTAATTTGAAGACTCATAATTCTGAAGTCTGCATCTAGCATTTCATCTAGTTCTCTCTGGATCTAAATTCTAAAACTAGGGCCTTTCATATAATCTCACATGTAGATGATTTTACTATTAATTAGTTGCTGTCTTGTCGATAAAAAACACTACCTTAAATACAGTAAATTGTTCCTATTTGAGTGCTACTGGCAGGACATATGGATGTGGATCTGGTCAATTTAAGGTGAACTGAGAAGTTTAACATCAGATTTTTTTTATTGAATTGGAAATTAGAGTTATGATTCCATTCCAAATATTGCAACGAAGGACATTTGACTCATACTGCCAGAGTGAGCATAATTGCTGTTGTATTCAGACTTTAGAGTTTGCATGCTTTTAAAATATGTTTGATGTTGTATTAACTCAGAAGCACCTTATGACATCATGGCTAGTGATCTAAGGCTTTTGGGTTAGCTCAGCTAATAAGGGGCCATAAGACATACCATGAAACCGAATTGTAATCCGCAATGCCGTGAAACCTTATGACTGTTGGTAGTTTTTATCGTATAGAACAGTTATGGAGATTCTTAGCTGCATGTTGAATGAATTTTGTGTAGTTACAAATGCAATTTAATCATTTCCCTTGATGCTTGTAGGGTGAGTTTTAAGGTTAGAAGTGATACTAACCTCTTCGAAATAGTAAAATGCAAGACTTCTCTTTCGGCTATTGAGGTACATCAGTTGTTTGGACACACTTCCAAACTATTAGTTGATGACTTAATATTCAGTTATTTAGGTATATAATGAAAGCTAGACGCCCATTGTTTGATTTAGATGGTATTTATCATCTGTATTGCATCCTTCTTTAGGTCAGCCCAGATGGTAAACAATTTTCCATTACTTCACCTGATCGTAGGATACGTGTGTTTTGGTTCAGAACGGGTAAACTAAGGCGTGTTTATGATGAATCTTTGGAGGTAACAGTTTCAACTGAAATTTCGGTATTTCTCTAATTTTTTTTTGGACATTTAATCGTTAGATGAGTTCATATTTTGATAGGTTGCTCAAGATCTCCAAAGAAGTGATAATCCATTGTATCGATTGGAAGCCATTGATTTTGGTCGAAGAATGGCTGTTGAGAGAGAAATTGAGAAGACAGAAAGTGCACCGCAACCAAATGCAGTTTTTGATGATAGTTCCAACTTTCTTATATATGCAACCTTGCTTGGGATTAAAGTGAGTTTTTTCATACTTCACTTAACTTCTTCCTACAGTTATACATTTTTTTTACTTGTAACTTTTCTTTGTAGCCTGCTAATGCAATGCAGCTACTAGATGAAACTTCATTCCCTAATGTTTTCACATCTTCTGCTTGGTCATAGATTGTTAATTTACACACCAATACAGTTGCTCGAATACTTGGAAAGGTGGAGAATAATGATAGATTCTTAAGAATAGCTTTATATCATGGGGAACGAAGTGGCAAAAAAGTGAGAAAGATTCCTTCAGCAGCTGCAAATGCTAATGAGAGCAAGGAGCCTTTGACAGATCCTACTCTTCTATGTTGTGCTTTCAAAAAGCATAGGATTTATTTATTTAGGTATGGCGGTTAAAATTTCACCAATCATTGTACCATTTCTTTGAACTCCAACTAATTCAGTGTTATTATTTGATAATAACATATATCAGTCGAAGAGAACCCGAGGAGCCCGAAGATGCAACTAAGGGAAGAGATGTGTTCAATGAAAAGCCTCCTGCTGATGAACTTTTGGCAGTTTCAGATATCGGAAAGGCACTAACAACATCACTTCCTGACAATGTGGTGAGTTATCTTTATTTGGCTATAAATAGTTTACCTCTGTATTCCTCTATTTAAGTAGTTATTCAATAGCAGATGGGAAATATATATATTTCCGTTCAAGACTCTAGAGTAGTTTTACATATTTTCTTTTCAAGTTTCGATTACGTTTTCCCCATAAAGAGTCTGATAATTGCAATTCTTCTTTTTGCAGATTATGCACACCACTATGGGTGATATTCACATGAAGTTGTACCCGGAGGAATGTCCAAAATCTGTGGAAAACTTTACAACTCACTGCAAAAATGGTTATTATGACAATCTTATTTTTCATAGGGTCATCAAAGGCTTCATGATACAAACAGGAGATCCTTTAGGAGACGGCACTGGTGGACAATCCATTTGGGGTAGAGAATTTGAAGATGAATTTCACAAAAGGTAATCCATTTATTTGTAAACATTTTATCATATCATGCATTTGAAATATCATCATGATTTCAGACTAGAAAAACTAAAGTAATGATCATCTGTGTTTGATCTTCTATGAAACTTACACCGAATAATTTTTCTCTTGCAGTTTAAGGCATGATAGGCCTTTCACATTGTCAATGGCAAATGCGGGACCAAATACCAACGGTTCTCAGTTTTTTATCACCACAGTGGCCACTCCATGGCTGGATAACAAACACACTGTATTTGGTAGAGTTGTGAAAGGAATGGATGTTGTCCAGGTAAATTGGATTCTTATCTCCTTATTAGGCATTATCTAGTACATCATATTAAGTCATGTCATATATTGGAATTGCCTGCATGTACTCATGCAGATTTTACTTGGACAATAATCTTAATGTGTTTGAGCTTTTTTGTAACCCGAACGTATCTTTAAATTATTTCTTTCCTTAGGTTATGTTTGAATATTTTAAAACGAACGGAGCGGAATGGAGTTGAGCGGTGCAGGGTGGAATACAAATGTTGTTCTGCCCAAATCGGTTGGTACAAAAAAATGAAGGGAGGTGATGGAATGAGATGGAATGCATTCCATCATGTTATGCTCCATTTCATCCTTTTTTAATCAATCCAAACAATGGAACATAGATTTATTCCATTCCATTCTATCCTATTCCATCAATCTAAACATAGCCTTAGGTTCTGTATGGGAGTTCAGAGAGGAGGGGAGGGCTTTAAGGGGAGAGGAGCAGAGAGAAAAATAGATAAATCTTTCTGAACCTAACTTGAAAACGTGAGTGAAACACAACCAAGCCCTAAGTTTTGGGTCTTTTACTAACTTTTCTTAGACTCGCCAACTTGTGAGCTGACAGTTTGAATGAGTTAGACTCAGTATACACCGATTAGAGTCTGCGACTAAACCTGTGACCACACAGACTCTTTAACTTTCAAATTTGACAATAATGGCTTTTGTTCTATGGAACTTCTGATTTACTTTTTCAGGTCCTTGTTTAATGAATGTGACCATTCTTTTAATGAATGTGACCATTCTTTTAATGAATGTGACCATTCTTTTCTATGTGAAAAATTTAATCAATCGAGAACTTTGTTGGCAGGCGATAGAAAAAGTGAAGACGGACAAGGGAGCCAAGCCATATCAAGATGTTAAAATTTTAAATGTCACTGTACCAAAGTCTTGAAGGTCTTGATTTTTATGATTCATGAAGTCAGCCGTGTCTATACCGGACTGGTGATAGGTCGGTGAGCTATAACAAGACAGTTTTATGTTTCAATCCTCAACCTTTAGTTTCATTGATTTTGTCTAAATGTAACAATTAATTATTCTTGGCATGCAGTGCAGCACCTTCATTCATCACAACTCTTTCTGTCATAGATTCCCTCTTTCCGTATTCTTGAACTATGTTTCAAGCTCAACGATGCTGTCTTGTTTTCTGCTTTGCCAGTGTGACCTACTCATCTTTTTTGGGCACAACCAGTGTAATTTATGTCATAGCTACCTAGCTAGTGTTTAAGAAGAGAAATTTGTTTTATCCAAAAAAGTCTAGTAATTTTGCTTATGAAGAGAAATTTGGTTTATCCAAAAGAAAAAAGTCTAGGCTGTGTTTGTTTCAAGGATTGAAATTGGATTCCTGGGAATATGAAGATGGAAATGCAATAATTCTATGTATGTTTCAAGTTTTTAAATATTGTTCCCGGGTACATTTTATTCCCAGAAATGTTGTTTACACATAACTTTTGTCATAATTAATCCCATGGTTAAAGGGTGAGAATTCAACATTCCCATGAGAATAAATTCAACTACATGTAACTTTCCACTATTATTCACAAGTTATTACTATTGTTATTTTTTATAATTTTAAAATTAAATAAATTGATAAACATTCCAAGGAAATTTAATATTTATCCAAACACAATAGTGGGAATATTATTTCTAGTAATAATAATCTGAGGAATATGATTTCAAGCAACACAATTTCATAATTTGAAACAAACACACTCTTATTAATTTTGTTTCGTGTAGAAATATGCTGTAGCTTATTAAACTGTTGTTACATTATGTTGCTGTATTATGGTTACAGCTAAATGAAGGATTGGATAGAAACAACACTGACATGATGCGTTTTTAGCTTCTTTAGCCCTAATGATATGATGAAGAAGAATATATTCTTCTAGTCACTAATAAATAACTAACCTCAACTTTCTATTCTCAAATGGGTTTTCTCATGCTGACGTTAGTTAACACCAATCATCACTCCGGTGAACTAATTGGATTCATTTTATTTTATAAATCTAGATTGCATTATGAATTTGGTGACGTTTAGCATACACAACAAATTTTGGTTACCGTACAAAGAAAAGCAGAATAGAATTTAAATAATGATAGAAAAATGCTAATAAAAAAAAGAAAACAATCAATTTATGTATATTTTAATGTCAACTTTGTTACAATTCTAAACCAAATAAGACTCCAACATGATTGTTTATTTTTCTATTGATAACAATCCGACTCACATTGACTGTTTTAGCTATCCGATGGAGACCTCCATACAAATTTTTGCAATAATGCCACGTGTTTCATGTCATACACGATTCTAAAAGATTAGTTTCAAGTGAAATAAGAAACCTTCCAAAGTGTTTGGTAAATTTTTCCGCATCAAAATCTTCATTAAATAGGCGAAATCATATGCGTCATGAAATGAGACCCAAATAACTGAATTGTTGAAGACAAGCCCAGATCTGACCATCAATTCTGAAAAGTGTCGTGAATTTACTTCATGATAGCAATTGTGCTTGAGGTCAATACCTTGAAGACACAACATATCAGTTGAATCTTGATTGTGTGGATCATTTTCAATGTCAAAATCAGAAAAGCTGAATTTCCATATATAAGTGTTTTTGGTTCCGAAATCAAGGAGGTTACCATTTGAATCAGAGAAAGTAAGACCGAGTTGAATGAGCTTAAGATTGTCTAACATTGGCCTTTAAATACTTATAGTCATTTGAAGGATCTCGGCAACGAAGGTGATAGGGTATAGTAGAATCTTTTTTAAATTTATAAATAATTCCTGGAAACTTTGTGTAAAATTTCATGAATGAGAAGAAACTCATTCTCTAAATTGTAAGCCCAAGCGTGACGAACCAAAACATTATTGTTTGACTGTTTTTCTCTCTTAAGCTTGTTCATATTGAAAGTTTTTGAAACTTATTAAAGACTAGAACAAAAGAGAAATATTGAAGAGCTCTTAGAATGTTAGTTGCGGTAAGATTGAACGATAATAGGCTAATGACTTTTTATATTAAGAGGTTAAAGTGAATTTAAGTTAATAGATATGATTTAGTCATATTTAAACAAAAAGATTTGATTTAGTTGGAAATTATAGATAATTATGACGCAGAGATCTTCCAAAATAATTAGGGTTTGTTTTTCAATTTGTTCATAAAAATATAGGATGGTTGTTTTCTTTTATTCAAACATCAATTTGATATAATTTGAAGTTTGTTTTAGTTTTATTTTCTTTTTTCACACTAAAAAAGAATCTATTAAAATTTAGATTCTTTGTACATTTACATCTTAATCTATAATATAATATAAGAAAAATGTATCTATCCAAAAAGTCAATGGCTTCCGTTGCGGTGGTCGAAACATTTCATGTTCGTCAGAGATCCGGCGGTAAGTGGTTTTTTCAACGACGATGTGCTTCTGTCTTCCAATTCTTCTTATGTTTTGATTCTTTTGTTGATATGTGTTGTTGTGAGATGTATTCATTGAAATTATTGATGTGTTTGTGTTTTGAAACCTTGAATTTGTAATGTTTTGTGTGTTTCTTCTGTGATGACGAGCTTTTGCTGGACTTGGCTTTCTGCAATTCTGCATCTAAACAACAACGATCAATGGTCATCGTCGGCTTTTCTCTCTTCATCGGTCTATCTGTTCCACACTATTTCAATGAATATCCGGCCCTATCTAGACACGACACGGTTCACACTGGCTCTACTTCGGTACGCACTCAAAATCTTACTAGAAAAATTTACTTATGCTAGTCTATAAATTTTATGTACTCTAAAGCGCTGTCAGTTTTGAGGCATGTCCACAAGGAGCAGAGCTTGGAACTAGAGACAGAAACCAAAATAAGGGGTAACATGATGACAAACATGCATAGAAAAAGGCAGTTTTGGAACGGTCTACAAAGGAGTTTTTCCTGATGGAAGAGTAGTGGCATTAAGTTTGTTGATAAGGAAAAAGAAACTACAATTTTGTTTTTTTAGTTATATAGTGTTGTTTTATGATTGTAGTTAATACTGATAAGTTTTGACATTGAATCCAGGCATGGAATAAGTGCTCGTAGTTGTTGGCCTTTCACACGAAGGTCTGTAATCCTATCACAAAATTAACTCTTCATATAGATAGAGAAACTGAAAAACCGATGGAAACCAAACCATGTTACCTTTATATATGCTGCAAAATTAACTCTTCATATGTTAACTCTTCATATATGCTGCTGAAGAAACATCTATTTGCAGAATTCATTTTGATATGGCATTAAGTTTTACATTTTCAATTAGGATTATATTTTCAACCGATTATGTACAATGTTTTTTTTTCCGTTATCACGGGGAAATTCTGAGTTACTCTTCTTTTCTTTCTTTGTTAAAACATAGTTTAAATTCGACGGAACTCTAACCATCATCTTCGACAAGAGGTTCATCCAAGCAGCACAATCTTCTTACAAGGTACTTAATATAGACTATACTTAATATTGGATATTTGAATTCCATATTCCCTTGCACTCCAGTAACGAGATCAACATTGTTGAATCTGTCTACAGATCACATTTCAACTTTAATAAATCATATTCCAAATACATTTTAAAAATCTGAGTTGTCTGATCTTTTGATCAAACTGCGCCAATTTCTTAACTGTGGCAGTTGTTTGATTATCTGAATCTTCTGAAAGTGCTTCTATCAGTCAACTACGAAACCGGATTAAAAAAGTGAAAGTTGATTGTACTTTTTTGCTGTTATCAGGTGGCTTATCCTTAACTGGAATTCATGGCAAATTATTTAGCAGAGCTTGCACTAGTTGAGTACAGCTTCTTGCAGTTTCAACCTTCCAAGATAGTTGCATTTGCAGTTTTAAGTCTGAAAATGTAAGTTAATTAAATGCTCAAGTCTGAAAATATTATTCTATTGCATGTTCTCTGATCGTCTTGGTTCCTTTGAATCTCTACCCTCCAGTGAGTTTTTCTTTCTTGTCTTTTTATCAGTAACTTTTCTTAGATGTTTATTGGATTTGATGATGAATTTGTTTTTTTAATGTGTTTTGCAGCCAAACAAGATTTAATTGAAGATGTTAGTGCTTTTGTAAGTGATTCTTAGTCAAATTAATAGATTCTTTGGTTCTATCTTTGGTTCTATCTTGTGAATCGTTGTGTCGAGGTTGCCATTTAAAAGATAAGTGATCCATACTTTTTATCATAACTCTTTTACAGTGGCATTTTTGCACTCCTCTGTGATAACCATGTCGTCGATACATGTTCAACACGATATATCCTTGCGAACTTATAATCACATGATAGGGAGTTCAACTGGTTTTTGATACGGAGACGACATGTTTTGGCTTAGCACATTATCAAGGTCTCGCCTTATAGCGGCTACTGTGATGTTTGGGAGAGCTTTGGAAGAAATATCATATGATTTGGCAGTAAGAAGTGGCAGGATTCCTAACACTGATGCAGTAGAAGACATGTGTTGCAAGCTACATGGTACTGTCAATTTGCAGCATCTATTACAAACTGATGGAGATAAGATATATGGTGTGTAAGTATCTCTTTTTAGCACTATTTCTTAATAGAAGAGCTAATGTAACAGTGATTGAAACATGTGACAAGTAAATTAATTGATACACCAAATAGACAAATAGTTGCTCAAAAACAGATAGACTCATTTCAGCTATGCAGGATTGCCACTGGTTAAAGAGAAATTATCATTTAAAAAGTGCAGTAAATTTACTTGGTGTTATATCAATGTCAAAGGTTACTTCTTGATAGAAATTTCCTGAGCTATGCCTGTTTTCAGTTGTTTTGATGGTAATGGTGTTGTGGAAATTAAGAGATTGGATGATTCTGGTGAGGAAGAGTCTAAGGTTGAAAAGAGAAATAGTTAATTAGAAAGCTAAGCCTCTCCAAATCCTATAAACTGATCAAAACCCACAATAAGCTATTGATAAACACTAAAAAAGTCTACGTTTTCTAAAAGCAACTACAAGGAAAAATGTAAAGAAATGTTTGTACAACAAAATAAATTATATTTATATTTGTGAACAAAATCATTAATTTACATATACTATTTGTTCAACATTTCATCTTATTACATATAGTATTGTTTCAACATTAATTTATATTGTGAACAAAATCATTAATTTACTATTCCAAAACTATATCCTGTTCTAAATTATATTTGTGAGCAATTATAATGGAAACATAAAGTTATTGATTAAAATATTAAATATTATGAAAATATAAAGTTATTAATTAAAATATTGAATATTAACGAAAATATGAAATTATTGATCAAACTATTGAATATTAACGATAACATGAAATAACTAATAAAAATATTGAAGAATAACAGAATCATAAATTTACTAATTAAAATATTGAATATTAACGGAAATATAACGTTATTGATCAAAATATTGAATATTAACGGGAATATGAAATTACTCATCAAAATATTAAATATTAACAACATAAAATTACTAATAAAATATTTAATATTAACGAGAACATGAAATTATTGATCAATATTAACAGGAATATTAAAATAAAGTTATTAATTTAAATATTGAATATTGGTAGCGATTTATTATCTCTTTTAAAAAAAATGTATTTTATTTTATTATATTTTGAGAACAAATACGCGTACTATTTTAACAAAGATTTTTTTTTGGATAAAATAATTTTGTTTTTCTCATTTATATTTTTATTAGATTTTAAATTAATTATAGTGTTAATTCAAATGTTTTTATATACAAAACAAAATATTGAAACCAATTTACGATCTCTTTTAAAATTAATAAACTATTTTGATCAGTTAATTTTTTCTTTTTTCCATTTTATTTTTCTTATTATTTTATTATATTTTAAAAACAAAAACACGCGTATCACACAAGTACCCATCCAGACGCACGGGTATCCCGTTTAACGAGAACCATGAAATTATTGATCAATATTAACAGGAATATTAAAATAAAATTATTAATTTAAATATTGAATATTGGTAGCGATTTATTATCTCTTTTAAAAAAAATTTATTTTATTTTATTATATTTTGGATAAAATAATTTTGTTTTTCTCATTTATATTTTTATTAGATTTTAAATTAATTATAGTGTTAATTCAAATATTTTTATATACAAAACAAAATATTGAAACCAATTTACGATCTCTTTTAAAATTAATAAACTATTTTGATCAGTTAATTTTTTCTTTTTTCCATTTTATTTTTCTTATTATTTTATTATATTTTAAAAACAAAAACACGCGTATCACAGTACCCATCCAAAGGCACGGGTATCCCGTTTAATATACTTAATATATCATACTTAATATATCATGTTGTATTATGTGTCCTATTTTTACAACATTTACAATTTTGCATTTGCATTCTTTCTATTCTACTTAATTATAATATATTTTAATATTTATAAATTTAATTTTTATTATGTTTCATATTTTAATTACGTCTGATATATATTTAATTCATTAAATGCATGATAATAAAAATTAGATACTTTTTTATTTCTGTAAAATATAAAATAATTAATTAAATGAATAATACCTATACAAACGCATGGATATCCTTATTTATAAAATATTTATCAAACTTTAAGTTACAGGCTTATCCAAAAATAAACTTTATAAACAGTTATAATAACTAACGAACTTTTCTTAATACATAAAAAAAAAGAATCTGGATTCTTAATAAATGAACTATTCTTACAAAAACTGTATATCTTTTAAATCGTTTTTACCACTTCAGTCCAAAAAAAAATATTAAACCTTAAAAAGTCCTATTTTTGTAGACCATATTATCAAATTTATTTTTAAACAATATTTTTATTTCTTTCTTTTCGCTGAAAATAATCTTCTGTATATTTTGTAATTGTTTTTGACAAAAAAAAGTTATTCCATAATTTTTGGGAAACTTTTTGTTGGAAGATATGCAACATTAATTAGTATAATTTATAAAGAGATAGAAAAATATAAGGAGAGATATTGAGTTTCTTTTTTAATTATGTAGTATGATATGTGATTGTACCTGATCAGAATGGATCGTTCTAACTTTACGTCGAGTAGAGGTTGAAAGCGAAATGGGAGGTACCTGCAAGATACTCCGATGTCAAAGTGAGATTCGGAATAATGCAAGCAAGTGAGAGTGAGTAAGAATGTTTTAATACCTGGCCCTCTCAAGTGAGAGGGTATTTATAGTTTCCAGCGTTAGGCCAATGTCTCTAATGTTGGGCCACGATGAGGCCCAATAAAGAAGATTGTTAGGGCTTACGTGTGTATGGAGGCCAACACATGACCTCCCCCCTGGCTGGCTGCCCCGAGAAAGGAGGAGCTGAACCCGGTATTCTTGGAGCGCAAGAAGGTGGTGACGATAAGGGCACGTGGGCCACGTTCCCGAACGGATACATGGGGAGTTGCCCAACGGTGCCAAACTTGGGCTGTTCGCTTTTGGGTCTTGTGCAAAGGTGTTGGATTGGGCCTCCCCAACGGTGGGACAAGCGCCGACCCAGTTCAGATCAGGAACCCCCCAAGTTATTGCCCTTAGGCGAAAGGGTGATGAATTAAGTTCAACTTTACAGTCGGGGAGAATTTGCTCGAGTAGGGAGATCGTAACCCTCTAACGGGTACAAATTATTCATCCAAGTCGGGGGTAATCTGTTTAACTGTGTCGGGGATCTCGTGGACAAGCGAGCTGTGAGACCAACTGGGTCAGTTGTTCGTCCAGTGTTCGACATAAGTATATAGGCTACGAGGAGCTTCCACAAACACTTTTTCGACGTGCCCGTCTTCAAGGGGTTATTGCGATATCGAGCGTTATTTTTCCCTCGAGGTGGATCACGACAAATATTCCCTTATGCATGTTTTATCCATGGTGTCAAGCATTTCTCCGTGTGAGGCATCTGCATTGTGCTCGCATGCAACGTTTCGTGTTAAAGTCGGGGACGTGTTCGTCTCTTGAGAATGAATATGTGGTTGATTGTTGGGTCACGTTGTTGTTGCTATGGGGTGCCATCTTTTCATGGAGAGTCCAAAAGGCCCAATCCAATGATGATTTTTCGTGATAAACCTCATGGGGTGTGAGCCACCTATAAAAAGGGGGACCCCAGGGTTTTATTTATTATTTCTCAAGTTTTCTTCTGCAACTTCCTTGTTTGCGCGTTGATCTCCTCCCAACTTCTCTTCAGATTTCTTCCAAGTATCCTTCATCCAAGTAAGTCATAACCCCTTAATAACATGTTTCCTTAGCGTTTCTAGATTAAACACCTAGTTTTTGTCTTGACTGGATAAATCTTGGATGGACATTCATGAGCTCTGCAATGAACACTCTTGAATGTTATTGAAGTTCATGATAAGGGCTAATTTTCATGGTGTCGGGGACAATTTCCCCGTGTCGAGGACAATTTCCCTAGATAGCGGAGCTCATATGGGCAGTATGTCTATTTGACTGAATGTCCCCGAGCTTGTTTTAGTATAGCAGTCGAGGGCTTGGGTCAAAGTCTGTTCCTCGACGGATTCATCGCCCTTTCACTTGATTTGCGGTGGAAGGGTGAATTTGATGATGTCGAATTCACTGTTTTTCCTGCTTTTCAGGTATAATGGCGCATCCCGTCGAGGAAGACGCTGTGCCCGCCAACCATGAAGATGAAGCCAACATCGAGGACCCTTTGGCCTGGGTCGCACCTGAATCGAGAAATAAGAGGTTATGCTTCTCGCACGATACATCAGATGTGTTTAACTGTCTGGAGGTTCGGGCTGAGGGAGCGCCCGCCAACTGGATGCTACAAATCCCTCACTGTAATCGGAGGATATGCTCGTCGTATACGGGCAAGTGATTCCCCATGTACGAATTTGCTTTCAAAGAGGAGGGGATGCATTTTCCCTTCAATGACTTCTAGGTGGGCTTTTTTCAGTGGCTACAACTAGCACCCTCTCAGCTTCATCTGAACGCGCTTGCATTCATACGGGCATTCGAGCTTGTATGCCAATATCTTCAAATCGGTGCAATGTTGCCCTTCTTCTTCCGTATTTTTCACTTGCAAAGGCAGTCCATCGGAGGAGTACATGCCTGGGTTTCTTTTAAGCAGTTTGGGAAACTTTTTCGGCCATACTTCGAATCTGTCTGCCATTTCAAAAAGAGGTACTTCATCGTGAAGCCTCTAACGAACGCGGCCATAGATTCCTTGTACAACCGGGTGGAAGAGATGGAAGACGGTCGGTCAGTAGTCCTGCTGATGGCCAGATTCCCACTCGAATGGCAGCGGAAACATTTCAAACAAAGGCCCAAATATTATGCGGTAAAACCTGATGATTTAGACGTACATGATCAACTCTCCTATGAGAAGCTGGCGTCCTATGTGAAAAGGTTTATCAATACAAAGGCCTTGCTTGCTTGTTTGAGGAAACTCCGCTGGGGATTATTGACTTCTTGCTTGGGGAGTAAAGTTTAAGATCCTTGGTCGTCCATTGCTCTACTAGGGAGTTTATTTCTTATATACCCTGACTGGGGATAAAAGAGATGGATAACCTTCCGACTCGTCTGGGGAATATAATTTTTAGATACCCTGACTGAGGATAAAAGAGATGGATAACCTTTCGATTCATCCGGGGAGGATAAAATTAACTATGTATCTAGTCCGCTTCCAGGCTTCGTAGTGATTCTCTGGGGATAGTGGTGGCTTCACTTGGGAAGAGGAATTTTGTCAGTGATTTATAGTAGTCTGAGGAACAAACTCCAATTAGGGAGACTATAATATGTTGGGGAATAAACCCCATTGGGGAAATAAACCTTGTCGTCAGAGAAGTGCTCTGCTGAGGAAACAAATTCTCCCGGGGAAATTGAATTTGCTAAAGAGAAGAACTATGTAGGGGTACA